GAAAATCTACGGGTTAGATTATCGGGCATTGAGGACGAGGATATATTGTCAGGTTTTGTCTTGGCCAGTGTTGGTAAGTTCCCTTTAATGACATTTGTCCATTCTTAAAGACTTGCTATCCTTGTACATTAGTAGTATTGTACTTTATTTCTTGAAATAAAAATATGCATTATTGTTGCATGTTCGTTGTTTTCTTGAAGGTTTGAAGCATAAGGTTTGTTGTTTTTATATGTTTATTTAAGTGAAGAGAAGTAAGAAAAATGGTGATGGGCAAAAGACGATAAATGAGAGAAGTGAGGATAAATAGGATTATTGAAACTGTTTTTGGTTAGCTTTTATTTCTTAGAATTGGTTTTTATTATTTATTTTCCTTCTCTATTTTGTAATTGAGAGAACAGAAAACAAAAAGAAAAAAGCATTATCAAACTGGCCCTGGTTAATAATACCATTATAAACTTATAGTTAATTGAAACTCTCCCTCTCTTCTTTCCCTCCCTCCATTTTGACCCCCTTTTGTTTCATTTAGTTTTGGACTGCAATATATCTGTTGATATGCCAATTTTTTTGTTACCTTTATACTGTCCTACGTTTTTACTATATTTGTTTAATAATTTATCTTTTGCTCTAAGTTTGCTTCTTATTTTAATGCAGCAAATCCAATTCCAGCGGTTACAGATTTTTTTGCCCAGTTGCAGATTCTTGAGTTGCTGGACAATGTATGAAGATTCTCTCTCCCTCCCTCCCTCCCTCTCTCTCTCTCTCTCTCTCTCTCTCTCTCTTCCTCTCTTTCTCCTTCTCCCCTGACCAGCATCTTATTTTCCTCTTTTTAATTTATAATTTATTTATGATCTTGATTGGTGAACATGTGGATGTATCTAAAGCCCTCAATATACTTCTGTTTAGGCAATCTTGACGGCTGGCTACAAAGCTGTCCTGCATATTCACTCAATTGTTGAAGAATGTGAGATTATTGAGCTCATAAGTCAAATGGATCCAAAGACGAAGAAACCTATGAAAAAGCATATTCGTTTTGTCAAGAATGGCGCTGTTGTTGTGTGCAAGATTCAGGTTTGTGTCATAACAGTTTCAATTATTTGCCTAATAGAAGGTTGTGTCCTTTTAAATATTTTAAACCTGCATTTTACTGGTCATAATTTCTTTGTGAAGTAGTGTATTATCCCCAAATTGCAACTAGTTTCTTCTGGGGTTTGGCAGATTGGCGGTTGTCTTTCTTCATTGTTCTCCTATATGTATTCCAGCAGATAAATTGCCCTACATTAGACTCTTCACGACCCAAGCAAGGCTCATGGTTTCTGTCTTCCTGGTCTTATCTCCCCCCCCCCCCAAAACAAACAAAAACCCACAAAAAAGAGAGTAAATTTTAAACATAATAAAGTAGAGCAAATCAGTTTTTAAATCTTTGTTTCATTTTGTTTAATTTGATACAATTGTGCACCTGGTGCTGCCACAGGTGAATAATTTGATATGCGTTGAGAAGTTCTCAGATTTTCCACAACTTGGAAGGTTTACTCTTCGTACTGAAGGTGCTAAATCCTTACCTTCTTGATCCATCGAGCATGTTTTTGGTGTGTGGTTGTAAATTTTATTTCTATGTATGTTCTGCAGGAAAAACTATTGCAGTGGGAAAAGTAATTGACCCTCCATCAACTTACTCCCTCAAATTAAGTTCTTAAACAATTTTGATCTTGAGGGTAAGCCCTTTTGGATATAATTTAAATACTAGATGGCTTCAAAGCATTCTAAGTTTTATTACGTGTTGAAAAAAGATGTTTTTGTTCGCTCTCTTCTGAATTTTGTGATCCCACCGTAACCTATTGTTTCTTGACGGGCAGAGCTGGGTCAGTAGGACTGGTGGCATGATGGTTCCAAGTCAGCTCAGGATCTTTCCTACTTACTCAAAGTGTATCGATTCTGGTATCGGGTTAATATAGTTGGTAGGTTTATGATGGAATATACTGTTGCTGGTGGCCACGTACTCTGGAGTGAGCTTTTGCCGGGTACGGTGGGCATTTTTCATTTGTATGGGTGTAAAGTAGGCTTGATTTGATTCACCCATTGTTGGGTTATTACATGATTCAAAGTGACCAGTCGTTGATCAGTCTATTTCATTAATGGTTGTCATGATGGGCGTAACATATATATTTTGTTCTTGAGAAACTTTTGTACCAACTCACTAAAGATTCTATATCAGTACGATTGAAATGAATTCGGTGTGCAGGCATTACGAAAATACAGCCTAGACAATTTACGCAATTACCATTTGCTATTAGGTGTTTTTAAGCTGTGTTTGTTAATTTGGAGTAAAAAGTGAGAATGTGCAGTCTCTTAGGCCTTCTCCGACCCATGAGGGGCTAAACTCAAATTTTCCTCCTCCAAAAAGTAACTATTTGGGTTTTGTACGGACTCAGATTGTTTTTTCTCCCAACCAAAATGATTTAAGTTTAATTTTTTTTAATGGATAACTTTTCTTCATGCAATCTTTTTAAATAGTTTAATAATTACATTTTTTGAACAATTTGACCTAAAAAATTTGAAATTCCACAAATATAATTTGACCTAGATTAATTTAAAATATTGTTTTGACCATTGGATTTAAGTTTTAGTTGTTGGATTTTTTTTTTTAAACCATTAAATGAGTTTGGATTTAATCTAGATCATTTATTTAAGTTACATTTATAATATATATATATATATATATAATAAAAAAAAACACCAAACATCAATAGCAGCAGCTTGACAAGTGGTGGGACAAGCAAACAAACTTGAACAGCACAGCAGGTCAGTTGGGGCCTACGTCAGATTCTGTGCACATGGGGTTGTTTTAGGTGTAGTGGGCTCCATTGAATAGTGTTGGGTCCAGACAATACTTGAACCCATATTTAGGTCTAAATTTGGGTTTTCCCAAATTTTGGGTCCTTTGTTTTCTTGGGTTGGGAGATGATTTGGGTAATATTTTGGGTTTAAGTCGTTGGGTTGGAGATGACCTTATAAGTTCAAGTACATTCCATGAAGCATGGATGCAATCGGTTCGGTGCAGTGCAGGGAATGGGAGATGAATTCGACTCTTTCAATTTGCGTGTGCATTTTATCCTCATGTTATGTCATAGGGTTAAATGTTAATTCAGGCTAAAATTTTAGCTCTGTGAAATATTTATTTTTTAAAGAATAGTGTAGGGTTTTTTGATCTCCAGCCATGGCTATATTTTAAGGCCCATAATTTTTAATTATTTTGAGAAAAATCATGGTACAACAAAGGATTGAAATATCGGCCGATACATCGATATATCTTCCGATATATCGGTATTTTCAACTGTTGACACCGATATTGAGGGGTAAGACCATATCTTCCCCTATATCGATGATATATCCCCGATAAGTGTGATATCCCTGATATTTTGCCGATATCCCAGATATTTCCCAATACCCATAACATAATCCAAAAAAAAATTCAAAAGTTTTGAAGGCAATTGAAGCAAATTGAAACCCCAAAAATAGCTAATCCTTGCTCAGAACCCTATAATTTATAGCTGCTACATATTTGTTTGTGTTTTTCTCTAATTCAGGGGATAGTTAGTGAAGAGAAAGTAGACTCATTTAACGTACAAATATATTGCATGTCTCCTCAAGAATTGGAAGCTTTAGCATAGAGAGAATGGAGACCTTGCCTCGCATCTTGCCACAAGGCACTGTCTCTGGCTCTGGTGCCCAACTAGTTACATCTCACATTAGAGCTGCCGTTGAGGGACTCATCAAGCAGCACTTTGGAGATGAAATCTTAGATGAGCTCTTTGACTTGTGCTGTAAGAAATTTGAAGAGCAACCGTCCATGTAAGAGTCAGGGATGCCAGTTAATTTTCTTGCTGTGCTTAAACGCAAGGCAACCTGATTTTTATGGTGTGTTTGGTGTTTGTGAAGCTATAGTTAAACTTTCTTGAGCTTCCTATCTTGTTATGTGACTGATTAAAGTGGCATGTAAAATCGCAGTTAATTATATATTTGTAATAAGTTGAGCTTCGTATAATAACAGTGAGAAAATAAAGCTCATTTTAGATGAGCTCTTTGACTTGTGTAGTAAGAAACTTGATGATCAACCACTGCTTCCTTTAATTACTATACCTCTTTACCTACCACTTCCCTTTCACTCTCAGTCGCACAATGCTTTTAGCTACTAGCAAGTTTTCAAGGTCCCTCGTGCTTTCCCTTTCATTATACCTTTTCTTACATTTATTATTTATTAATATCTGAGTTTTTTCTTTGCTTTTGCTTTTATTTTTTGTTAGATTCGTTAGGTTCTTCATGCAGAGAGGCCCTGCTGAGCTCAAATGGTTTTCGTTTTATTTTCTTTTGGCTATTGGATGTGTTTGTTCTTTACTTTTTGGTTACTTGTATTCCTACAATAATTTGGATGGGATAGCATGATTTTCAGATACTGAATCATTTTTTATATCGAAAGCCCTCAATATATAAAGCTATAATTGAACGGGGTCCTAATACATTCTGTTCTGTGCTTGGTGTAGTTGTATATTACTGTTGTTATTTCCATAAAAGTGATTGGAGAATCGATATCTTGCTAACTTATAAGATACAACCCTTTAATCTGCAACAGTTTTCTGCAGGGGAAAATCAGTTTGATGAAAGTAGAAACTTTTAATCTGCCAACAGTAAATAATATAATACATATATAGATGCATCTTAACATCTATATAACTTAGAAGGTCAACCACAAGGTAATCTTTCAGTGCCGGCATGGAGGGAAAGGGGAGAAACAAGAGGATAGGAAGGACGGGGTGAAAAAAGAGGCAAGGAGAAGGAAACAAAAAGTCTTTTTCCTTTTCCATTGAGTATTAATTAATTTTAATTGATTTACTTTGTCTTTTGATTAGTGGCAAGTAGTGCAGTAGTATCAGCCGACTGTAGTTATAAGAATAACATACGTGACATGACATACACCCCACTCACACATACAGGGAAACAGAGAGATGGCAGCAGCAGAGGAAGCCAGTAAATTCTCTGAGGAAGCATATGCATATGCAATGACAGGTGGAGATGGACCCAACAGCTATGCCAAAAACTCAACTTTGCAGGTTCTTCTTTAGTTAGTTTGGTTGGAAGGGGTAATTAGTGGCTGCTATAATAAGATATTTATTGTTTTGATTTCTGCAACATCATTATTTACTAAGATTTAAGCATTTTATGTTTGGTTCCTTTAACCTAAAGCAAGTATAACGGGTAAATTAAATAGTTCTGTGGATGGAAAAAATTAAAAGATAAACAAGGCAAAGATCACCTTAAAATAAAGTTAACATGCAGGTCTATGCTTTTGTAGAGAGGAGCCGGGGACGCTGCCAAAGAACTTCTAAACGAGGCAATTGCAGAAAAGCTTGACATAGACATCTTGTTATCTTCTAACACTTTTCATATTGCAGATTTGGGTTGCTCTGTTGGGCCAAATACATTTTTTGCAGTTGAAAACATAATTGAAGCTGTGCAATTCAAGTTTCAGAGCCAAGGGCTGAATTCACAAATCCCTGAATTTCAAGTATTCTTCAATGATCATACTCAAAATGATTTTAACATGCTCTTCGGGTCCCTCCCGGAGAACAGGCAATACTATGCTGCGGGCGTGCCTGGTTCTTTCTATGGTCGCCTATTTCCTAATGCTTCTATTCACTTTTTTCACTCTTCTTATGCCCTTCAGTGGCTTTCTAGAGTACCAAAAGAGGTAGTGGACAAGAACAGTCCAGCATGGAACAAAGGACGAATCCATTACTCTAATTCCACAGATGAAGTAGTAAGGGCTTATGAAGCTCAACATGCTGAGGACATGGAGTGCTTTCTAAATGCCAGGGCACAGGAGATTGCTGATGGAGGAGTGATGGTACTGCTCATTCCAGGCCGCCCCAATGGTACCCCCCATTCTCATCCTGTGGGAAACGTGAGCTTCCAACTTATAGGATCTTGCCTCATGGACATGGCTAGGAAGGTGAGCAATGATCCACTGCTACAAGTTTGTCATTTTGCTATTGTGTATGGCTATTCCATTATAATCCTATTATGTTATGTGTTGGCATATGAATTGTATCTGTGTAACTTTACAAAGACAAATAATGACCCACAATAGAGATCATTTAAAAGAAGTTGGCTAATTTTATGTCCCATATTTGACATTACAATTCTTGCTTTGTGTATAATTTCCCAAGACATTTTATTTATGGCTGCTATGTGTTTTTCCTTTGTGCAGGGAGTAGTAAGTGAAGAGAAAGTAGATGCATTTAACATACCTGTGTATGCCATGTCTCCCCAAGAACTGGAAGCTGCTGTAGAAGGAAATGGACGTTTTAGCCTAGAGAAGATGGAAACCTTACCTCATGTCTCGACACATGGGACGGTCTCTGTAACCCAACTAGTTGTATCTCACCTGAGAGCTGCCTTGGAGGGACGTATCACACAACAATTTGGAGAAGAAATCGTAGATGAGCTCTTTGAATCGTATCTTAAGAAACTTGAAGAGCAACCCTCCATCCTTGCAACAGGGACTGCAATTATCTTTCTTGTTGTGCTTAAACGCAAGGCAAATTGATGTGAAAATGCTGTTTTGGTATTCGTGAAGCTATAGTTCAATTTCTTTTAGCTTCATTGTTATGCTAGTTGTTTTATTATAAGACTAAGTGACATAAAATTGCTGCAATACACCCATCAGTCTTAGCACAAGTGGCATGGGATGGACGTGATGGGATTGCTGGACTCCCCTTGTAACCAAAAAGTTGATGCAGTACAAATTTGTAAGCCACCTAAAATAAGCAGGGGAGAGATGTACTCTATCCTGAGAGACAATGCTCTTGTTTAAATCATGTTTGAAAACCTTTGTCTCCAGTTATAATCGGATAGTCTGTTTTCTTTTATGGTTCAATTTGGAGTTCAATGCTGCCACAAATGTAGTCCATAGCAGTATCTAGACGTATACACTAATTATTGTTAGACTAACACTAATCAGAAAACCTAACATCGATCTAACAAGGGCCGGCAGAGAAGATTGGACTGAGTTAACAGATAACTGAGGTATGAGGATGAGATGTGAAAGTTTTGAAAATTGAATTATAATGTTCATTTCAGTTTGGACTATGGAGGTTAGGATAATGTTCACATCAGTTGGATTATGGTATTAGTCAAGGAAAAAAATATGCTTTGACTAATTCATCCCAAGTAAGGAGTTTAACACTCTCCCACAAACAGTCAAAGAGTATGCAAAATAATAAAATAAGATGAGACATAAGAAACAACAACAAACCGGCAGGAATGGATATAATACTAATGATGATAATGAATGATAATGGACTTTTTCTGTTGTCTTCTACTTTTCTCAATTTAAGTTTAACTTACTCGTCTTTTATTTGTGACATGTAGTACAAGAGTGCAATACAATATGCCATACTTAGCTACCCTCCCCTCCATCCCCCACCCACCATACCAAAAAAGGAAAGAAGAGCACCCCGAGAGAGAGGGAGAAAGATGGCAGCAGAGAAAACCAGTAAGTTGTATGAAGCATATCCCATGAAAGCTGGAGATGGCCCCAACAGCTATGCCAAGAACTCCGCTTACCAGGTTGTTCTATAGTTAACTTTGACATGGGTTTGCAGTTGACTGATTTATTGCCTCTTCTGCTTAAACAGCATAGTTTTCGGTTGCATAAAGCATGACTGCTATAATTATTGTTTTGTTTTCCAGAAAATCATTACTTTGTAAACTTACTAATACATAGCACAATCTTATGTATGGCTAACTTAACCAAAATCAAGTTATTGGGTAAATCAAATAGTTATGTAGACAAATCAAATTGAAAATGTTGCCTCTCTACTAAAAGAACATGCACATACTCTGCTTTTGCACAAAGGTGCTGTGGGTGCTGCCAAAGAACTTCTAAACAGGGCAATTGCGGAAAAGCTTGATGTAGAAATCTTTCTGTCCTCCAACACCTTTCACATTGCAGACTTGGGTTGCTCAGTGGGGCCAAATACATTTCTTTCTGTTGAAAACATACTTGAAGCTGTAGAATTTAAGTATCAAGGTTCAAGGCCAAGGCTTCAATTCTCAAATCCCTGAATTTCAAGTTTTCTTTAATGATCACACTCCAAATGATTTTAACATGCTTTTCAAATCCCTCCCTCAAAGCAGGCGATACTATGCAGCAGGTGTGCCTGGTTCTTTCTATGGTTGCATATTTGCTAATGCTTCCATTCACCTTGTTCACTCTTCTTATGCCCTTCATTGGCTTTCTAGAGTACCAAAAGAGGTAATGGACATAGACAGTCCTGATTGGAACAAAAGACGAATCGATTACTCAAATTCCACAGAGGAAGTAGTAAGGGCTTATGAAGCTCAATATGCTGAGGACATGGAGTGCTTCCTGCATGCCAGGGCACAGGAGATTGTGTATGGAGGATTGATGATACTCATCATTCCAGGCCGCCCCAATGGTACCCCTCATTCTGACTTCGTTAAATGTGGTCTATCAACTTTTGGGATCTTGCCTCATGGACTTGGCTAGGAAGGTAAGCAACTATCAACTGCTCTAAGTTTTATAGAACACTCCAATATGTTCCTTGGATTGGAAGAAATGACATCTATGTGTGTTTTCTTTATGCAGGGAGTAGTTAGGGAAGAGAAAGTAGATTCTTTTAATATACCTATCTATACCACGTCTCCTCAAGAACTGCAAGCTGCCGTAGAGAAAAATGGTTGTTTTAGCACAGAGAAAATGGAAAACTTACCTCGTATCTCAGCACTTGACATTGAAAATGTTACTAGACGTGCCCAACTAATTGCATATCATGTTAGAGCTGCCACAGAGGGACTCATCAAGCAGCAACTTGGAGATGAAATCTTAGATGAGCTCTTAGGCTTGTACAGTAAGAAACTTGAACAGCAACCATCAATCTTTGAGTCAGGGAAGGCAATTAACTTTCTTGTTGTGCTCAAACGCAAGGCCAATTGATTTGAATACGCTGTTTGGTATTCGTCAAGCTGTTCTTAAGCTACTTTAGCTAGCTTTTAACCTTTTTATCATATGAAATATTGACTTGTAAAATTAATAAGAGCCTGAGGAGACAAGTATTCTTATGTAAACCATTGAAAACCTTTGGCTCAATACAGAATTGCATGTAATGTGATTTGAGTGGTTTTCTTATAAATACCTACCCTCGTATTTTCACCATAGTTTTTGGATTCGGACTGGATATAAAATGATTTGAGTTTTTCCGTAATGATCACACCTTAAGTGAATTCAAAATGCAAGGGCGGAACCAGGAATTTTTCAACGGGTGGGCTAGCTAAAGTTATTAGCTTAAAATTTAATGATTATTTTTTTTGGTACTTGCAATTTCTATAGTCTTTTTAGAAATAAAAGTAAACATTAAATCATATAAACCAAGCTAGTTCATAGCTCCATAGACTAATTTTCAATAAGTTTTAACATAAACCAAATAGGGCTTAACACCATAGTGTATTGAACATCTAAGACTTTTTACCTAGATTGACCTTAGGTTCCTTCATGCATTCATATCATACATCTAAGACTTTTTCTTTTTTCTTTTTCTTTTTTTTTTTAAAAAAAAAGGGGACTGCTGGTGGCAAGCCACGGCCATCCACCCCTTCCGGGACCCGGAGAGGCTATAGGGAATTTCACCCCGTCCCTGGCCCTCATCGCTTGATTCACCAACGGCAGGAATCGAACCCAGGATCTCCCGTTTACAACATGAAAAGTTGTTTTATGCAAAAATATTGACTAAGTATGAAAAATGGGTTTTCGGAATAATCATTTTCTCAAGATAATTTTTGGCGGCTTTTATTCCTCACACATCAAATAAGAAAACTTGATTTTATGGGGTTTTAGTATGAAGTATATATTAATTTTATGAGCCATCATTTTTAGCCTAAATCGTATTTTGCACTAAAACCGATTTTTCATATTTTGATTTGGTGGGAATTTTATTTTCTAGTATTTTTATTTGAATCCAAATGGGGGGTACTTCCTTTTTTACATTGTAAACTTAAGTAAATGAAGTAATATAAAAATAAATAAAAGTAAAATGACAAAGACAATTTGCCACTGACTGGAAATAAGGTAATCTGTACATTGCTATATATATATATATATTTTTTTTTTTTCTTAAAAAACCACACTCAAAATTATCTTCGCATCCTTCCCTCTGAAGTTGGTCCGCCTGGTTTAATCTATTGATTGATGCCATTTGTTGATTTTGTTCATTCTTTCCTGACAATGGCTTTTTTGAGATACCAAAGGAGGTAGTGGACAGGAACTCCCCGACAAACAATTCCTTTCTTGATCCTGAAGCTTTTTCCACTATTTGTTGGAATCTTGTCTCGTAGATATGGCCACGAAGGTATGCCATTGATCAGCATCAGCAGGCCATAATTCTAACTTGGACACACACATCAATATAAACTCAAATTATTTGTCTTGCACCGCATCACCACAAGGGACTTTTTCTATTGTCTTATGCTTTTCTTAATTAATTTCCTGTCTTGGGGTTTAGCGACAAGTAGCAGTGGTAGATACAGTAACAATGATCCCTGCAGTACAATATCCCATACGTTCATACTCCCAACACACAGAGAGAGAGAGAGAGAGAGAGAGATAGATGGCTCCAGAAGAGGAAACCAGTAAATTCTGTGAAGCATATCCAATGAAAGGTGGAGACGGACCCAACAGCTATGCCAACAACTCCACTTACCAGGTTTCTTCTATAATATACCTTCACCTGTTGTTTTTTCAAAACAGCATAGTTTAGTTTTAGTTGAAATAAACTCTATATATAAACTGTTTATGTATGGCATTCCTTCAGCCATAACCAAATAGCTCAGGTATGTGGTACATTACATAGTTCTTGTTGGAAGAAAATTAAAAATTAGGGAACCCCTCAACTAACTGTATCCTGCACATTTCTGCTTTTACAGAGAGGAGTTGTGGATGCTGCCAAAGAACTTCTGAGTAAGGCAATTGCAGAAAAGCTTGATATAGACATCTTGTTATCTTCCAACAGCTTTCAAATTGCAGATTTGGGTTGCTCTGTTGGGCCAAATACATTTTTTGCGGTTGAAAACATAGTTGAAGCTGCGAAATTCAAGTTTCAAAGCCAAGGGCAGGATTCACAAGTTCCTGAATTTCAAGTCTTCTTTAATGATCATACCCCAAATGATTTTAACATGCTCTTCAAATCCCTCCCTCAGAATAGGCGATACTTCGCAGTCGGTGTGCCTGGTTCTTTTTATGGTCGCATATTTCCTAATGCTTCCATTCACTTTGTTCACTCGTCTTATGCAATTCAATGGCTTTCAAGCGTACCAAAAGTAGTAGTGGACAAAACCTCACCTGCTTGGAATAAAGGACGAATCCATTACCTAAATTCCCCAGAAGAAGTAGCAAGGGCTTATGAAGCTCAATATGCAGAGGACATGGAGTGCTTCCTGCATGCCAGGGCTCAAGAGATTGTGTATGGAGGATTGATGTTACTTACCATTCCGGGTCGCCCCAATGGTAGTTCTCATTCTCATTCTTCAATAAATATGAGCTTTCAACTTTTAGGATCTGCCCTCATGGACTTGGCTAGGAAGGTAAAACTGGTCTAAGTTTGATACTGTACTACTATGTATAGCTAGTTCTTTTTTATCCTATTATGTTTTGTCATGTAAATATCTCAGAGATGAAAGAAGAAACTTGTTTAATTTTAACATCATTATAACCCTACGATGAAATGATATTTCGACA